AAATCACAAATATTTACTTCTCTAAGCAAAATACGCAATAATCAACATAAATCTAACTAATTTAACATAAAAAATGCATAAAATAACTTCACATTACCTAATCCGGCGACGAACGGGCGGAGCAGCAAGCAGATCTCGAAATGGTGAAGAGGGAGAATGTCTGATCGGGAAAGGGAAAGGTGAATAAATTACTTAAGTCTAAGTCGCCCCTTTACTGGGCGACTTATACTTAAGTCTGAATTCGCCACATCAGCTGCCACGCTGTCGTTTGGTCGTCGCCTTTTAAACGACCGACTTTGCCTATAATTAAATTTTTTAACGATCATGCTTAATCTTATAGTTTAATTATTAATGTTGCTTAGTTCGAAAATTTTCCCATAGCAATGAGGAAACTAAATTCAGAAATAGCTCCACCAAGACGCCGCAAATGAATATTGAATTTTTTTTTCCTTTTTTATTCTTCTTTGGAAGTGTTGGCTCTTCTACTCTGCTTCTAGAAGCTTTTGAATTGGTTTTCAGGATGCCAAAATTTCTGTTAGAGAGGTCTTCCCCCTTATGCACATAAATTTTCATTTTTAATACCCTTTTTCTAGTTGTTAACAATGTATAAGTGAACAGAATTCTATCTTTCACATTCATTTTTCTTCATTCTTGGAACTCTTTCTGTTCTTATGTTTTGCATTCATTGAGGTCTTTCTTTTTCCCTCATCAGTTCAACGTCTCTTAGTCCTTTGTGCGCTTATGATTCCACCTGGTACAATTCTCTTATGCTGGAGTAATTATTGTGTCCGGACACCGAAAGCGTCCAGAGACCAATAACAAAATGTCACGTCACTTGGGTTCTCGGTACCGAGCACTCGGTATTGCTCGATATTTGTTCGGACGTAATAACTTTTCCTTATACTGAGCCGCAATCTAAGACTTAGTTTGAGACAATTTTCTTATTGCTTCTTAAAATAGCTTTTTAGTATAAACAATTTAATTTTTGTACTAAAAAATTGATTTAAGAAACACAAGAAAGCCGCCACAATTATTACTTTCTAAAACAACTTTTTAGTAAAAAAAAATTTATAATTAATACAAAATTTTTTTAGAAAGGAATAAAAAAATTGTCCCAAACGAAATCATAATCTCCAAATTATATTTGATTGTTAGTCTTGGACAATTTTTATTTACATAGCATACATATTTAATTGTTGATATTTAATTTTCTTTAAGTTGAATGTTTTATCAATTAGTTAATAATTAAAGCGACATGACGTTCATTTATCATCTCCTGAAGAAAACCTCGTCAGCTTTTTTTCCTCAAAGGAGAATGTTATGATGTCTGAATACGGCAAATTATTGCATCAATGCGTAGAATAGATTTGGACATTCAATAAAAACATGTCACGTCATCTGTGTTTTTGACTGCGCTTTAGGTGCGCTTTACCTGCGCTTTTGACGCGCTTAATTTAAAATAATATTTTATTAATATCTGGACCTATGTTCGCGTCCGGTGACCGGATGCAATAATTTGTCGTCTGAATAGAGGACTACAGTTATCTAAAAACCTTTTTTTTTATGAAACATTAAGACAAAATGAATAGTTCAATTATGATTTCGTTTGCGACCATTTTTTTATTATTTTCTAAAATAACTTTTTAATACAATTTTTTTTTTTTTGAATTTTAAATTTTAATACTAAAAAGTTGCTTTAAAAAGCAAATTAATACAACAATTTTTAAAAATAAAAAAATATGCATGATATATAAATAGAAATAGAAAAAATCTCAAAATAATCTCCAAATTATTCATGGACAACCAATTCAATCTCAAATTTAATCTATCGACTATATAAAATTGATCCTAACCTCATATTATAATTACTATATAAAATTGGTCCCACCGTAGTCCCTGGGCTTTGTAAAATTGATCTCAATTTAGTCCCAAAGCAACTATTTTGAATCAATTTTGTATAATCAAAGAACTAAATAGAAGTAATGTTATATTCTAAAAGTTAAATTTTAACTGATTATTTGATTATATAATATGGAGCTCTTAACAATGTTTGCCCAAACATGCAGGATCTTATTAAAAAATTTACACTGGAGCAGCTATTATACACAGTTCACTTTGTCCTTCTATAAGTACGTGGAGACAAAATTTGCAGCTGTCAACACAGCTCCTCAGCCTGTCAAATATATCACAAAACAAGAGGCAAACATACAACAAAATAGTATCCAACAAACAAAAATCCTAACATTAATGCCCCAGAAATGTTTTCAGTCAAAGATGTCTCAAAATAAGTAGGCTTTGGTGTCGATGAAGAACCAAGTGATTGAATGAGCTCCTCTACAGCCAAAATCTTGAACCTTGTTGGAGGATTGCGAGCAATGTTGTTCATCTGGTGCTCGAAGATCTTTCCTTTCCGATCGAGCTTGTACACAGATATGCCGTCGAAGCGACCATGACTCTCCCAGGGTAGACGACGGATGCCGTGAACCGTCCATCGAATCATGATGGTACTCTCGGCTGGTTGCCAAACACTCACAATGTCAACCCACAAAACTTTGAATAAAACTTGGCCGATGAAGCGCAGCGCCGAAAATATCTGTTTGTAATTATCAATTCCAACAAAGGTATTGAGAGGATCCTTGAAGACAATGTCATCCCTACACAGAAATTTAATGCATGTTGGTATATGATGTTAGGTTATGTGTAGTTTAGCTACATCAACATGTTGCACCAATCATGGCTAAGATAATACTACAAGAGCTGTCTAAGAAGATCAGTTTTTTGCAACAGAACCTATATAGGGGCCACAGATTGTGTTCAGCTGAGTCTTCGTTAAGTGAACGAAACATTCATCTGGAAAAATACTTCCTAAAGGTGAGGATTTCGATGACATAACAAAGATGCAGGACGTTTTTCTGTGAAGTTCTGGTGAAATTTAAGTTCGAAAATATTATATTTCCTGAAATCAGATTGGCGCGACAAAGACAACTAAAGAACACAAAGGATTATAATTTGTAAGCTAAACAATCCTCAGCGATTGATGTTCATTTACTTTAACTAAGGTTTCGTTTGGGACGGCTTTCTTATTGTTTCTTACGGCAGCTTTCTAGTACATAATTTAGGCTTCATTTTGGACGGCTTTCTTACTGCTTCTTAAAATGACTTTTTAGTATACAAATTTTAATTTTTGTTTTAGAAAGCAGTTTTAAGAAGCAGTTAAAAAGCCGTCCCAAACGGAGGCTTAATTATGTACTAGAAAGCTGTTGTAAGAAGCCGTCCCAAATGAAGCCTAAGACTCTTCCAAGTTGCTAATAAATCCTATAAAGCGGTATCACAGCAAAGAACATTGAGGAAAAAGGCTCCCACGCATTGCTATGCAGTGGAAATTCGAAAGAGTGCTGCAAGAGAACACATGAAAAAAGAGAGTCAAACGCACACCGCCTCCTACTAGAAATGGCTTAAAATCCTTTTGAAGTCGAAAATAAAAACTCTAAAGTTCAAGATTATCTTAACTTCAAAAAAAAAAAAATCTAAGATTATCATCCACATCACTAATAATAATAAACCCTTTGCCCCTATATGATTAACATTGCATGCTAAGCCCAAGTTTTATTTTTTTAAAAGAAAAAGAAAATTATCCTAAATATTATCTTACTTGAAAGCACAACAATAATTATAGATATAGATATGAGGCCAATTACAGAAAAACATGGCACATGTTCAATGCTGGATTGAATTTCAAGCAATAATCAAGTGAATACTTAGTTTAAAGATAACAAGCTAGATGAGAATTTATGGCTTCTACCCTTAAGAACCAATGAGCATACCACTTAACCTAGAGCTTTTTGGTTTATGCAAAATAAAATTATCCAAAAGCATCCTTACAAGCAATTTTAGGTTCAAACTTAGAGCAAGATATCTATATTATACTAGTAAAATTGCAGTTGTATAATTATAATAGAAAGATATGAAGCAATTCAAGCCGGAAAAAAACACTTATGCAAAAAAACTTATTTCTAGTCGGGCATGGCTTACTTAACTACTTGAAAACAACTAATTTGTGGTAGATATTTTGCAATGACAGTTCTTCATCGCAAATTTGAGATGAATGATGCACTATTGCATCATATTTAGCATTGTGACATACAATTATCCACCACGACTTTTAGTTTCGAATTTGCAACGAAGTTGTGACAATCAATGTTATCCATTGCAATTTGGGAATTTATTTGCACTGAATCATTTCCAAAGAATATATTCAATCTTATGACATATTTGCAATAAAAACTTGTACCATTGCAACAATGAATAGGAAATAAAAAATAAGTATGTCTTGCAGCAATTTTACACATGTTACAAAAATTTAAATCTACATGCTTCTCACGCTTGCCCTCAAACCTTCACCGCTCCTCATGTTTATAGAGGGGTAGGGAAAGTCCCTTTGTCGTGTTGGGCAATGCAGGCTATTTCCACTTGAAGTGGAGGTGTGGAGTTAGCTAGTTTGTTGACCATCAATCACCCATTAAGCTTCACACCTCAGATGTTGTGCCTATACTCAAACACTCATGCAGGGTCAATTTGTTCCAAGTTAGATTAAGATTTAAGATTGAGATTGTTTTCTTTTTCTTATTATATAATTTTATAGTTTGTGATGATAGATTAAATTAATATGTTCATGGTTTATGGCATATTTATGAGTTTTTTATTATATATATACTTTTTTCGGAGGCTTATACCTTGCCTTGCAAAGGCAAATACCTCAATTCCAAATTTCACTCTTTTAAACCGAAGAAAAAAGTACTATAAAAAGAAGCTAGGATAATATGTCTTGTTAGTAATTGACAAACATATTTAAATACAATCCAATGATCTTTGAGGTAAAGAGACAAAGTCAATAGGGAAAAAATAATAATAATTAGTTTTATTCATGTTCAAGTGGCGTATGCAATGTATTTAGTCCCCTAGCATGTCATGCTTGCATCTAGGGGTGTTCTAGGCATATTTATATTAATTAAATTTGGCACGCTATCACTTTTCTTGGTAACATTGAGATGTTATTGTGTAATGTTATTAGTAAAAAATTAAATCACCGCTACTCTCAAAGAGATGGGAAAGCTCCTCTACAAGCATGTTTCCCATAGTTGTTTAGCCATGGAGAAAGTGCACATATAGTATAGCTCTTTCTATTGCACATATCTCTCGCCAATTACAACTGTGATATGTTGATTTTTGGGGAAGAAAAGCAACTAAAAAGCAATACCACACAAGGACAAACGAAATGTGCATATGAAGAATGCAATAACCAAGTGTAGACCGGTTGCACATATAGAACAGCTCTGCGGAAGTGATTGACTTTGTAGTCAGAGCTGGATATTGAAAGTTTGGAACTCAGTCAACTTATTTCATGGAAGGACAAAATTGGCACCAAGAAAACTAGAAACATAAGGTTTATCCATCATGAGCAAAACAAAGTCAGAAAAATTCAAATATAATGATAACCTAGCTAAGGCAAAATTGAGGTCCTTGCCTTAAATTATTTTATTACAATTATTATTTTCAGAAGGATCGGTTGGCTAAATGTTGCCTCCATCATCAAAAAGAAACATAGCAAAAAAATAAGGGTACTGAATACAAATGAAGGATGATAATTCAATATGAGGAGAATAGAGCGAATAACAAAACTTCCCAAATAGTAGGGATATTTACATTTTTTTAATAGAGTTCCTAGGATGTCAATTCCAGCTATTAAGATAGAACAAAGATTAATTGAATAAATGAAAAAAAGTTCACCCATAGATAATGCTGCCGCCAAGAAATATTTTGACCATAAAAAAAAAAAAAGATACAAAGCAACATCAAGCATCAGTTTGCCTAATTTAAATGAAGTTAGGTCCTCTAGAAGAAATATAGAGGGATGGAGATTTCTATCCCCTTCAATGCTTAGCTTAGTTGACAAAGAGCTGCCTCTCAAAATGCAATTTTAATTTGAGATAGAAGTGTACAACAAAAAATTACAAAATTTACACCTAGTGCATAACTACAAAGCTTAGAGAACATAATTACAGAGCAGCTCATCCAAGTGAGAGCAGCTATAGTTATATTTCCTGCAACATAGGACACAACATGGCACACTGTTACACTATATATCCTGGGAAGGCTCCCTATTCACAGGATTAAATTCATGGCAGAAACAACCACATAGCGGTTTATCAATGTTTGTAGAGTAAATATGACTTCATTTGATATAGGAAAGCACAACATAATATTACCTGATATTTAAAAAAATAAAACTGCAACACATGTTCAAATTGCAAACATCATTAATATAGATATGATTATTTTTTATATTATTCAAATGATAGAAAAAAATTAATATTAAAATCTAAATGCATATCTTTAGATGAAAAAAAAATAGAGCTTAAACATAAAGAGAAAACAAGCAGTCTCGTTAATTTATGCACGGAAAAGGCCAAAGTTTAACATGCAAATATGATTTAAGAGGAAAAAAAGATATCAATTGAATTAAGAAAGGTAATAGGATATGACTACAAAGTTTTTTTCATTTGGGAATCATGTACATTTAAGTTTCATGTAAGTAAAAACTATTAGGAAATGCTTAATACTAAATTTTGTTCATAAAAAGGTAACAGACGCTCTAGAGAGATAACTCAATAAGAAGCATAAAATTGGAACTTCATTCCATGGCTGGTAAGTTCCTAACTCGACATGGTGATCCGGTATATTCATATTTTTTTGTTCTATATAATGAAGTACAAGCTTTGAAGCTTCAATAAAGAGTAGAAAGCAAAATATTTAAAACTAGTAGCTCAGGCTTCAAACAAATTAATTATCAAATCAATCATTTATATGCTTTTGGGGAGAGGTAATTTGCTACAAAGAACAGGAAATCAAGCTTTGAAACAACTTTTGTAGTTTAATGGCTTCACTAAACAAAACTTTAATTATACACACAGGAGCTAGTTCTTATCTAATGTTATTATATTTCAGATTCTACTCAGTAACAAAAGGAGAACATTAATGGAATGCTGTTCAAAGCGCCAACCAACAGTAGATTTCGTTGCTCTCTCTTCTAATAAAAATAAAAGATCTCTATATGGCATAAAAAAGAAAAGGTTTACTGATTGGCTTCCCAATTTCATGAACTCGGAGTTGAGTCACTGAATGAACTGTAAAAACTACCTATATAATCTTTATTGTTCATTATAGAAAATTTGGCACACAATACTAAACGTTTTCCCTCATTTTATAGAGCAGAAACTAAAAGCACCCAACCAACGATACTTCCACCCAATAAAAGCGCTAAAAGCAAATTAGAACGAATTAATGCCCAGAAATGAAGCAACTTTCCAAACCTCCACCATATAACACCATCTCAAAGACACAAACAAACAATTGATGATATAAATATGTACCTATAGATGCTGAAGCCTGGTTCCTTATAGAATATAATCGGGTAATCCTCCCTCAGCGTACGAATCGCGTTTCCGACATTCAAGTAATAGTCCTTCTTATCGTCACCGCCTTCCATCTGCTGCAGCTGATGCCTCAGCGAAGGAGGCGGCGGCGAAGCCGAGGACACGCAGAGCACCGGAATCGATAAAATAGAGTCGAAGCCCGCGTTTCTGATTTGGTCAGAAACCCTAACAACACTCGCCTCAAGATCCACCATCTTGCCACAGGCGCACAAACTACGTCGGCTGACTCTAAGAATCCGGCTGCTGCGGCTGCCGGCGACCCATCTTCGGCGGATGCATATGGTGGCACCGGAAGTAGAGGATAATTCCGGTAGGGTCAGAAGGAGAGCCATCTGGAAGAGAGGAAAGCGTGTAGAAGAAGAGCTCGGAAGTCTTTTATGGCTGAGGAGGGGAACGGAGGAGCGGGAGGAAGCCGACTTGCGCCCGCCAGCGCATAGCTGTGGAGATACTGAGCTGATCGGTAGGATGCCCATTTGGACGTTTGATAAATAGATAATTTTGAAATTTATTTATTTATGTTAAGACTGAATTTATTTATTTATTTAATAAAACATAGAAGTTAGAGATAAAATTTTTTATGATTAAAATAAAATGGAAAATAGTTTAAACATAGCTTTAGGTAGGGGTGTCAATATTGAACACGATCCGAAAACCTGACTCAAATCCGACACGAAAAATTTGGGTTCGGGTCAACCCGAACCTGAATCGGGTCGGGTTCGGGTTGGGGATTTTGACCCGTTTGCAAAAACGGGTCGGATTCGAGTTGACTCGGAAACCCGAAATTAACCCGATTTGACTCTGAACGATCGTTTCCCGCTTTTTGCCTGTCCTGTCGTGTTAGTCGTTGCGTCCGAAGCGATGCTGCATCAGCCATCGCGTCCAGCAGCGTCAGTTATCGCGTCCGTCATCGCGTCTGCCGAAGCTGCATCAGTTGTCGGAACTCGGATCGGACGTCACCTTATGAGTTCGTCGTGTCCGCCAAAGGCTCGAAGGCTCGAAGAGATGCAACCCGCTTAGGCTGTTAGCCATCCACGTCCGCCTCGTCAGTCTCACCGACGACGTCGCTGTCCCACTTTCGTGCGCTGGACGGACTCGGCTGGAAGAACTCAAATCATACATTACCAGTCCGTCAGGTGGTTAACGATCGGAAGTAGCGACGGAGGCTGCCATTTTCACGCACTTCATTAGCCAAATACTGTAAATCCGTGTTGGGTCGGGTTGGCCCGAACCCGAAGCGGGTCGGGTTCGTGTCCCAAAAACCGAATAGTTTTCAAAAACGGGTTGGGTTCGGGTTGACCCGAATTATGCCGGGTCAGTTTCAAAGTCGACCCAAACCCGACCCGTGACCCGAAATTGACACCCCTAGCTTTAGGTATTTTAAAGAGGGAGTCTTGAATTTTATTGTGATGGAATATTTCCTTATGCAATATTTCTTTAGTGCTTAAGAACCAATACTATTTGGAATTCATCAATGCAATTGCAATCTTATTAAATTAACTTAATTATTAATGTTAGGGATGTAATTTATCATTAATGAGACTTCATGTTAACTCGTAATTATATTCTAACTTTATCAATAAATTTATTTTAGCACGGATTTTAGAATATATGACAAACTATTAGAAATTTAAGTGACTATAAATCTAATTAGAACTTATTTGTATATACGGTTGTCAAAATCAGGTCATGGGACTGGTTCGGGTCTCAACCCGGAACTAACCTGACACTGTTCGACCCAAACCGTTTTTTTGCAAACGGGTTAGTTTTTCGAACCCAAAACCGACCTGCTTCGGGTCTGGGTCAACCCGAACCTGACCCACTTTAGGTATGTTTTACTAATTTTTTTTATTTAATTCGATTTATTTAAACCTAAATCAAATTAACGTGAGATTTACTTTAATCAATTTAAAATAAACCAAGCTTAACTCAATTTGGGCAACATGATTTATTATTTTTTAGAAATATTATTTATTTATTTCATAAAAATCTTCTAAAACCCTTCTAAATTAATTAAAAATTGGTCAAATCGAGTTGATTTCGAGTTTCCGGGGCAACCCAAACGTGACCTGGTTTTATAAACGGTTCGAAATCCTTAACTCAAACCCGACCCAGTTAGGGTTCGGGTTGACCCAAACCCGAAATTTTCATGTCAAATTTTTGGGCCATGTCAAGTATTTACACCCCTATTTGTGTCTAGAAATTTTTATTATTATTTGAATTGTCCAATATCCCATCACTCAAATTCCATTATTAGGGTGTATAGGTACCCTAACATGCTTTTTAGAGTAGCCATTGAGCTATTAGATAGTAAACATAAATATTAAATGAAAGACATACTATATGCCAATTTGAGATTTTGTGAACAAAGGCAATAAACCTTACCACAACCATTAAATTAGTTTAACTTTGATATAATTTGATTTGAATATCGACATACATTATTCAATTACAATCCTTTATAATGAGAGATTCGAATGATAATATAGATGTGTCACTATAACTAAGAATAACATGTCATAAACTCTAATAAAAAAGAGGCAAAAACAAAATATTGAAGATATGAAAGTTTTCCACATACTTCTAAAACCATCAATTATGAAAAAGCTTCGATATCAAGGACACAGAAAGAATAAAGAAATATTTCAAATATCCACTTTAAACCCTATATGAGCATCATCCATGCTTTTAGCCTAAATCCGTGGAATGTCGTAGGAAGGAAACTCATGTGCGTATATCTCAAAATAATGCGTATATCAAAACATATCTATTATGATGATTTGCGTCACAGACTCTTCTACATCTCTTGAGAATTGATAAGATCCTTAAGATAAAACAAATTCATTCACATGAAATATGGCTCATAATCCTTAGGTAATTCTTAATTTGCTCATAATTTGAGGATTTAATCATATATATTCAACCTTAATTTATAAAAGAATAAATATAATGCCCTCATTTTTATATATTGTATATTTTGAAAAAACTTAAAATATATTGTTGATTTAATCCCAACGTAACCCTAAAGGATCACTCCACTTGAAGTTCGTCCAATTTGAAAATTAAAGTTCGATTTTATATTTCTGAATTATTTATTTTAGCTTGTTTGAAAATGACGTATTTTATAGCATGAGCATGCCTTAAAGATGTATATACAACATACCGCGACATCCTGATCTCCGACATTTCACTCAGATAATCCAACAAAAATTTAAGCTACTCAAGAAAGTATATGTAATTGACTTATTTTTATAGAGAATAATATTAAAGAATGTAAATGCCAATAGTTTATTGAAGCATCATTCATTTAAGATTTACTCATGAAATTCATCTTCCAACACTAAAGGCTCTTCATATTTCCATTTTATTTGGTAAAATTTTTGTGTATTTATTATAAGAAGTAAGATAATTATGTTTTCTCATAGGGATTGATAAGTTTTTATTTAAGTGAATAGAGATAAAAGATGAGACAACCATCTCATATAAATATTCCCTTGCACCTCCTATGTTATATATTTGAGAAAATAAAAAATGTTACTAGCAAAATCCTTAATTACTCATAATTAGCATTCATTCGAAGCGACTAATATTAATATATGATAATTAAAATGTAAATAAATAAAAAGAATGCTCTAATTCTCCTTAATTCTCAAGAACGAGATGGCTAAGATCTCGAGCAAATAATAATAATGATTAGATACTTAGTCTAATTGCTTGTGAAATATATATGTAGCTCGGCTTTATTCAAGACATATCCATTCTTTTATCTCACATAACTTATATTTGCTTACATAACTTAAGTTGATTCACATATGATACTGCAAATTTTATTTCATGGAGCATGTTGTTGAGCCTATTGAAACCTTCGCTAGTAAGCTTATGCGTGATTTCTTCGCTTTCTTCACACGACTCTTGAAACCATCAATGCTTTCTCCTACAAGCTCTCATGCAATTTCTTAGTCATGTGTTTCGGAAGGTTTTGAAATTTTGGTAGGAACAAGGGAGGGGGAGAGCAAGCAGAGGAGAGGGAGCTTGAGACTGAATTATAATTATATATATATATCATAATCTTATGTATCCTATGTACGAAACTACTACAAATATTAACACTACAAATATGTTAATACAGCAGAGATGTGTTGGCTTCAGGTTGAAAATATAATTTTTCTAGCTAATCAAAGGTTATCAAATTTAGGTTTCCTTTGAGACAAACTTTTTTTTTTAATAAATTTTTAATACAAAAATTTTTAAGTTTTTTTAAAAAAAAATTATTTTATAAAATTTTAAGTTTTTTATAAAAAAAATTATTTTATAAAATAATTAAAAAAATATATCCTAAAACTCTAAAAGACGCTTTAATATTGAACCTGGCCATATGGCCATAAGCGTCCAATGTGGGTGAATCGTCCACGTACATAGCCCCAATCTTTCCAATATGTGAGGCAACCATTTCGCCACGTGTCATCCATGCTGACTCGACAGACCTCAGCAGTCAATTCTGATGCTAAATCTAACTTCCACGTGGCAATTATCCATATGTTCACAATGCTATTTGTTGTTCTGCATCGCAGCTAATAGATCGTCTTTTTGCGCGCCGGCTTAAGCCATTTACCTAATCTGAAGCTCTCCCGCCCTTCTACATGGCACAGAACTGTGTCTTTTTTGTGGTTGTGGCCGTGCAGATTCCTTCATCGGAGCTGAGTAATTTGGGGGAATAGGGTCTCCTCCGCCGCCAGGCGTTTTGGTTTCACTTTCTGTCGGACGCGCCTTGTCATGTCCGGCGCCGGATACAGCCCCGGTGAGCCGACGCTAACTCTGTAGCAACGTCCTTCTGTCAGGTTCTCGTGGATAGCTTACGAAGCCTCGAAGAAGGTGTACTTTTTTTTAACCCTTTTTTACTGGATCATGATTCACCATCTTAGTTATGTCGGAGCTAATTCTTGTTGCATATTTAGAAATTGAAGCACCGTGTTTCCTGCTTCAATAAATATCGAGGAGAAGTCCTCTTTGGGGAGTAATGGCTTTGAATATGTGGGAATTTGGCCAGATGGGGAATTGGATATGATCCTCGGGGGATTCGTGACAAAAATTGGATTGAGGGCACAACCGAAAACCACCTAACGTGGCATTCGCAGCTCTTCAAGCTCACCTAACATTCACTCAATTTTGTTGGTGACATTATTCTCAACACCCAATACATTGCTTAGATGATTATCGACCATCTCACCACCGTGCCCTACCGTACAATCTCATCATCTATATCTGCTATGTTGACATATTGTACATTATTGAAAAACCTTAATCCAATAAAGAGAGGAAAAAATCAGGAGATGAAAATGTTATGGGAGTAAGAGGGGTTGTCACTTTTGGAGCCACTTCCAAGGAGAGGAAAGGTTGAAGGAGTAGGACTTTTAGTGGAGCTGCTGAATTTGTAAGGAGAAAAAGATTAGGAGAAGGTAGAAGCATCAAACATGATTCTACCACCCCTACAACAGAATCGAGGGGTGTTCTAGCAATTCAAGGATTGAATCCTTTGTGGGAATGCGAGTATGTTATCATCTTGGAGTCTCACCTATCAGTGCTCGTATATACCGTCATCCCCAAATCCAGAACGAAGAGATTGAGAGATTAATTAAGGAGATGCTTGAGGTAGGAATCGTTCAACCTAGTGTCAATCCATTTTTCAGTATGATGGTATTAGTTAAGTGCTTCAACAGCAGTTTCGTTCTTCCACCTTGATGACAAGGTGCCACTTTGGAGGGGAGTATTATTAGACCGGTCTAGTCGGTCCATACATGGACCGGCTCATGCGTAACAGAGGCGGAAGTGTTTCACCTCTCTTGTACACACCAATCGCACTGCCCAGTCCGGGAGAGCAGTTTAGGAACGATTATTGAGGGATTTAGGAGGAAAACTTGAATGTAGGGACTGGTTAGGGATTTCTTTTTGGATTATATGTATTAAATAATTTATTTTCCTAGGGTTAGGGCATCTTGAATTTGATTGAAATTTGAGAGCTCTTAGTTTCTTTGGGCTCTAGCGGCGTCTAGAGATTTGGGAGAGAAAGATCCTCCTCTCGAATAGAGTATCAATTGTATCTACGTATTTTTCATTTGTTTCTTCGATTATTGCAATAAAATTATTGTTTTTATGGTTTTAATTGGAGTTTGGAAGAGTTTTCTTGTTGTTTTTCTAAAACTGATAGGATTTATTTGAAATCTTCAAGTGTTTTCTATCAAATTGGTATCAGAGTAGATTTTGAGACTATTTTTGGGTTGTTTTCTAGAAATTAAACTTTCTGTTTTTGATCGGAGGAGAATTTTTGCTGTTTTTTGGGCAATATCCATATTTTTTGAATCTACAAAAATCCGGTTATTGATGGCGGCCAAGAAGGTAGATGCATTGGAGGAGCGCATTGAAGGGGAGATGAGCCAAATGAAAGCAACGGTGGAAAATAAAATTTCATCAGGGGAAGACAAAGTTTCCAATCTTCATGAGTTGTGAAGAAGATATTAGAGAATCAAATTCAAATAGCGGCATTGGAGACAAAGTGACGGGTGGGAAGAAAAGTAGAAGTATTGGAAGGAGAGATTAGACAATTGAAATTAGATTGTGTAGAAAAGCATTCAAATTTCAAAAAGCTATTTTTAGTCATCCATGAGAAGATCGATGAGAAGTTTGCCATCATGGAGGAGATGGTGAGAAAGATACTCAAGTTCCAAATCAAAACGATGTCATCAGAGGCATGGGGAGCTACTGGTGACCAAGGGAGTGCAAAAAATCCTAATCTGATAAGTGCAGGGAAAGATCAGGAGGTGAAAATGTTGTGGGAGGAAGAGGGGTTTCCACTTTTGAAGCCACTTCGAGGGAGAGGAAAGGGTGAAGGAGTGGGACTTTTAGTTGAGCTAGTGAATTTGGAAGGACAAAAAGATTGGGAGAAGGTAGAAGCACCATACTTGATTCTATCACCCCTACAACAGTATCGAGGGGTATTCCAGCAATTTCAAGGGTTGAATCCTTTGTGGGAATGCGAGTATATTATCATCTTGAAGGAAGGAGTCTCATCTATAAGTGCTCGTCTATAGCGTTATCCCCAAATCCAGGATAAAGAGATTGAGAGATTAATTAAGGAGATGCTCGAGGTATGAACCGTTCAACCTAGTGTAAGTCCATTTTTCAGTCCGGTGGTATTAGTCAAGTGCTTCAATAACAATTTCATTCATTCCACCTTGAGGACAAGGTGACACTTTGGGAGGGCAGTATTGTTAGACCGATAGTGGACCGGTCCAGTCGGTCCATATATGGACTGGCCCACGCGTAACAAAGGCGGAAGTGTTCCGCCTCTCCTGTACACGCCGATTGCACCGCCCAGGCCGGGAGAGCAATTTAGGAAGGATTTTTTAGGGTGTTAGGAGGGAAATTTGAATTTAGGGACTGTTTTGAGATTTTTTTCGGTTTGTATGCATTAAATAGTTTGTTTTCCTAGGGTTAGGGCATCTTGAATTTGGCTGAAATTTGAGATCTATTAGTTTCTTTGGGCTCTAGAGATATGGGAGAGAAAGATCCTCCTCTCGAATAGAGGATCAATTGTATCTTGGTATTTTCCGTTTGTATATTCGATTATTGCAATAAAATTATTGATTTTTTTTTTTCATTGGAGTTTGGAAGAGTTTTCTTGCTGTTTTTCTAAAACTGATAGGATTTACTTGAAATTTTCAAGTGTTTTCTACCAGTATGCACATACAAAAAATCCTACTGGACTTTACCTCAAGGTCCTCAACCAATCTCAGCATACAAATTCGGAATGGCAGCCTGCAAACTACTTCAAAATCCCATTACAAGCAAAGACTTTGTCATTGAAAACACGGATTTTGATTTCACCAACAAGAATGATTGAAAAGCATATAAGAGCTTGCAGCGGATTGGTCTTTAGGAGCAAAACGACCATGATGTGACTAGCTCCAGTGGGAGTAAATAAAAAAATCAATGAGCAACGACTCAAATGACTATCATAAATAGTGAGGACAAACAAATGATCACACCTAGTTATTGTTGTATTCAACCGAATCGAGAAATTTGAATTAGGATTTCACTTTGAGCTGGAGCCAAGTGTATAACACGATGCCAAGATGCGATGAAGTGGTGCAACTCACATGTCCTTGCGATGAAGTGGCCTTGGAGGCTTGGACTTCATAAGCAAATGATGAACAACGCCAGTTCATCATGTCTCTTTTCTCCTAAAATGTGCTTTTAACAGCACTGCTATCAATCTTCAAGGCTTATGGAAGGCTTCCTCCAAGTTACCATACCTTGTCCAGTGAAACAATTGTAGAACTATTAAGAACTAGAATGAGGAAGAAAGACTTGTTCTTCTTGATCTTGAATGAGAGAGAGAGGGAGAGGGAGAACAAGGGAGAGAGATATCATTTGGAGGGAATACAACTAAAGCTTTATTCAGATTTTTTCTCAAATATTGTATCACATATAATCTCTATTTATTTATAGAGATTTACATAGATGTGGTAGCCTGCAAGAACAACCTAACCTAAAACTAAACCAATTCATAACAAGAACAAATCAAGTTTTACTATCCCAAAAAGCATAATACACCTTTTCACAACTAATAGATCAAAACCTTGCAACTAGCTACATTATACTCCATCATCACAACTTTTATTTTTCCCTACATTCTCAATCTCAACACTTGCATTGATATATGAAAAATGTTGAAAGGTGACTAGAACCCTCAAATCACCTTCGTGTTATCCAATTCAAAAATGAACTACACATGTACATAAAAAATTGTTAGACCGGTCCAGCAGGTCCGGGCGGGACTGGTTCACGGGCGAAATTGCAAAAACAGCGGAGAAAGCTTCCGCCTGGGCGGAAGCCGCGCGAGACGCGCGCCTTGCGGGACGGTTTCTGTAAGGAAATTTGAGGGAGTTTAGGAGGGAAATTGATTGTAGGGACTGTTTAGGGAATTCTTTTTGTATTGTATGCATTAAGTAGTTGATTTTTGTAGGGTTTGGGGCATCTTGAATTTGGATGAAAATTTGAGATCTCTTAGATCTAGGTTTTCTTTGGGCTCTAGCGGCGTCTAGTAATTTGGGAGAGATCGATCCTCCTCTCGAATTGAGGATCAAGTGTATCATGCTATTTTTATTCATCTATTAGTGAAATACAAGTGTTTTGCTTGATTTTATTTCAGATTTCCACTCAAATCCCTCTGTCTTCTGCTGTAGACAGCAGAATTTTTGCTATTTTCTCTCTGTTTTCCAAATATTGATAGGAAATAGTTGAAAACTACAAGTGTTTCCTATCAAATTGGTATCAGAGCATCGTTTTTGGGATCGTTGGCGGCTGAAATCCTGAAATTTCAGCGGGAATTTCGTTTCCGGAAAAAGATCTTCGTGAATCTTGAGAAGAATGATGGCCGGAAAGAAGGTCGACGTCTTGGAAAGCGAAGTCGGCCAATTGAAAGCCGATTTGGAGGAAAGATTCTTTAACCTTCAAAATCAAATCACCTCCAACAATGAAAGGTTGGAGGGGAAGTTCACCGCAATGGAGGAAATGTTGAAGAAACTACTTGAGATGAAAATCAATCCGGCGACATCGGAAGTAAGAGAGACCGCCGGCGGCCATGGCATTGGAGGAAATCCGAACCCCTTGCGGGGGAGGAGAAATTCAGAGGTGGAGATCCTAGAGGAAGAGAACGACATGCCTCCTCTAGAGCCTCTTTCGAGGGAAGATATGAGTATGGGATATGACAGAAGCGGGGCTGATTTTGGTGGGAGGAGAGAGGGATCTCATCGTCGAGGTGCTGAATTCGAAAGAATTCAGCGTCGAGGGGGGGATTTTGAAGGAAAAAGGGAGTAACGTCATCATCGAGGTGCTGAATTTGAAGGTATTCATCGTCGAGGTGATGATGTTGAAGGGAGGAGAGGTGAGTATGAAGAGGGGCTAGAGTATATTCGTCGGAGGGATGATCAGGACAATTGGGGAACGCCTCCTCTGAGGGGAATGAGAGGCTATGGAGGATACCGGGGAGATCCCAAAGTGAGTAAATTGAAGATGCCTGTTTTCGAGGGAGAAGACGGCCATGGCTGGATCTACAAGGTGGAGCGTTACTTTGCTGTCAATGGGTTGACAGAGGATGAGAAGCTAACGGCAGCAGGATTGTGTCTGGAAGGAAAGGCTTTGTCATGGTATCAGTGGCGTGACAGGAGGGAGCCTACCAGGAACTGGAGAGAATTCAAAAACTGCATAATAGAACGTTTCCAAACCGATCGGGGAGGAGATTTCTATGAGCAATTCTTTGCTCCTCCTCATGTGGCCGGCCCCTTAATGGCCTCCCCTCCCTCTCCTAATCACATTAATGACTCCACAAAATCAGCCCAACTTTCTCTCAATTGAATGAGCAATAATCCTCCTCTTTAATTTGGGAATTCAAAATTGGATTTCACTTAATTTTCCCTCCCAAATCACTTAATCTGAAATTTAATTTCAGATTTCCATTCTCTCCCCAAATTGATTTGGGATTTAATTAATCTTGCCACCTAGGCAAGTAAATGGCGTTTCCGTTTCACATCACTTAGATCTAGGTTTTCTTCGGGCTCTAGCGGCCTCTAGAGATTTGGGAGAGATCGATCCTCCTCTCGAATTGAGGATCAAGTGTATATTGCTATTTTTATTCATCTATTAGTGAAATACAAGTGTTTTGCTTGGTTTTATTTCAGATTTCCACTCAAATTCCTCTGTCTTCTGCTGTTTTCTGATGTAGACAGCAGAATTTCTACTATTTTCTCGCTGTTTTCCAAATATTGATGGGAAATACTTGAAAACTACAAGTGTTTCCTATCAAAAATCAAGCCATGAGCCAATATATTTTTTGAAGTACACCCCTCGTTGACAACATTGCCATAGTTGGGTCACACATCAACCATGATGACATAATCTTATACAACCTCAATGGACTACCCTCCTCCAATTAAGCCTTTAATACTCCAATCCATACCTAACCCCCATTGGCCCTGACAACCTCTACAACGAAAAAATTAGCATTACAACCAAACAAGATAAACTCTGTCCATTAGCTAACCCTCACATTGCATTAAACACTCACAACCAATGTGGCTCAAACTCTCTAGCTTATCGGGGTCTTCTTCTTGGCTTCTTCTAGTTTAGGCATGTTGAATGTATACCAAGCATATTCTGCAAAGTGAAATGAGGCGCGTCTTTAGAATTCTTGTAAAGAAAATAGGATGAAGAGCGTCACAATGGCTTCCTTTATCTTGCATTTTTCTTATTTTAGCTTAGATCTAATTTCTGATTGGGTTTTGTATCACCCTCTTAAAATTTCTCCAGTTGGTTGTTTCAGTAATGCTTTTCCTTGTTTTAATCCTTCAATTACAAGAAAAGGAGCTGACTTACATGAGCATTATATCAGATTGCTTCGTTTGGGGCGGCTTTCTTTCTGCTTCTTAAGCAATTTTTAGTACAAAATTATAAATTTTTAGGGTTTAGAAGCTGCTTTAAGAAGCAGAAAGAAAGCCGTCCCAAACGAAGTTTAAATTTACATCTTAACAATTCTGTGGTGATTCTGAGATGAACCTTATTACAATACTGTCGCTAGCTGGATAACTGAAAGGGAAAATTTGTGTGTTTCTGGGTATACTTTTTGGATTGTCTTTCAGGTTATACAGCAAGGAAACTACTGTCCCACAGAGGTCAAGCTCTGTACAGCCTTCTCACAGATTTAGCTGAAGGGCTCGCTAGCATTGCCATTCTTCATCAATGTCTTACTAGATTTCACCCCTTTCCAGCTGGTTGGTTCTGATTCAACTTATGGAGCCTGGTGACACCGGGCCGGAGGGGGCTCGACGACTCCATGTCGATGATCCAGTGGTTGTAAGCCGAGCACAACTCCAAGAACTCCTTAGGAAAAGAATCCACCACCTGAGAATAATCTCAGAATACAGGAATCCAAAACAGAGCAAAACTACTCAAATATTATCCATCTCTTCAAAATCTACCTATTACAAGCAATAGCTACGTATTTATAGACAAAGGTAGCAACCTATTAAGCTACATACAACATAAGCAATCACTAATCCTGTGTAGCCATACAAACTGCATACGAAACTAATCCAGCATGAAGTTAATAGAATTAAACAGCTCAGCTCTGACGTCACCCGACAGTTTGATGTTGGCTTGTGATGTCTCCTCTTTCCATTTGTCAACTTCCTGTCACAGATTGAACTTATGATCAAGTAAGTTTTCTAATCAGCATCACCAAATCATGTTCAAGTCAGACGTAAAAGGCAGTGCAGGATATGCCTTCCATAATTTTAGTTTTACATTGCAAGGATACATTTACGTGGTTGTGACCATAATTTTATTTTCTTATAAGAATTCCTCAGAAACAGATGAGTCTATTTGTTTTAACTTCTCAATTGGTATAATCAGCCTGTAATGAATACTGCACGCCTCAAAATATTGCAGTGATTGTATCTCAAAGCAAGTTGAAGTGCTGGTCTGAGAAGTTAAATTGGTCAGCCAAGCACAATAAGAGAAATAACACAGATCTCGCTTATTCTCTCCTTGCTTCTCTTCACCGTTACACATTTTTCACACCATAACATACAAAGAGAGATAAAACCATCAAAAGAAGCAACTCTTAATGAAAAATGAAAAAGAAAATTGTCAGGCCAGCTTGCAGCACCGCGATACTAGTTTGGAACTTAGTGGTGCTCAACTATTTGTCTCTAGTCTGCCAAATAGTGCTGCAGTGACGGGGTTTGGAGCACCGCAATGCTATAAAAAGTATAAATCAACAAGCATAATTAAATTCAGAATCCTATAAGCTGAAGTCAAAAGCTCATATTCAGGACCCCCCTTTATTCTCTCCTATCATGTAATCACTTGAATGACCTGATTCATTCCTTGTCCAATATATCCTATATGAACCATTTTATATTTAGGGAACATGATAAAGCTCCATGCTGATGTGTTGGACGGCCCAAGATGTTTTTTTATTAAAAAGATGTACTAAACAAAAAAATTCCGCAGAAAGTTTGGACCGTTAAACCAACAATTTTTTAATTGCTGGTTAACAGCTTATAGCTCTTCTCCCAAATCAAATAATTAGGACAAAGATGGTATCAATGATAAAATTGTTTTCTAATAGTCTGATTGAGACAACTTTCTCGCTGTTTTATTTTTCGGACAATAATTAAATTTCATTTGGCTGCTATTTTCTCATAGTTTTTCAAAAAAATTTATGGTGGAAAGTTATTTTTGACAGCCAGAATAATTAAGTTGTTTTTCTCATAATTGTTTTACAATCAACTTTATAAATTACAGCAGCCGTTCTAAACCAATCCTAAGTTTTTCGAAATTTATGGTTTGCGAAGAAAATTTGAGAAAATAATAAATTTAGCTTAAAACAACTTTTTATTTTTTTGGAAACATTTAGGTCATTAAGGTAAATTAATACACATATCACATATATAAGCTTCAAATTTAAGACCTTTTGATTTAGAGCTAAAGCTCTCAACCAATAGATCATGATGAATTGCATCTTACTGCAACTAATTAAGGCTTCGTTTGGGACGGCTTTCATACTGCTTTTTAAAGCAATTTCTAGTTCAAAAATAAAAATTTTGTACTAAAAAATCGCTTTAATAATCAATAAGAAAGTCATCAAACGAAGCCTAAGAAAGCATCAAACTCTGTTTAATCAGTACATGAGCAGTAGCTTCAACGATGGGACAAGAAGGTGATGATGTTTTGTAGCTTTGTTGACCTTCATCCACATACTGTTGAAATCATAGAAAATAGAGTGATTATATATATGTTTATTTACATTGTAGCAATCATTCATTTTTAATATTTGTTAGAGTAATATGAAAATGATTTAATCTAGCAGAAGTTTGTTAGTCTACATCATCATGAATGGCCTTATCCTAATTATTTATGAATGATTTATTTGAATTTTATTAAACTTTAAAAAATATTACATGAGGTGTTAAATTTATTCGGGCTAATTTTTTAACACAACTTTTATTCTTATTAATAGCGACGGAAGCGGCGACTGGATAGGGATGATGGTTTTTTTAGGGTTATGATAACTAATTTTATAGCTATATATAAAATGAAAGTTTTATTCATAAATTATCTTATGATTGTTTATATTTATTATGAAAAATTAGCCGCTATTATGTTTAGGGTAGCCTTTTTCCCCTCTAAAAAAATTATGTTTAGGTTGACCCAATTGTTATTCAGGTTAAGTTCGGGTCAGAAATCTTGACCTGATTGATTTTCAGGTTGGATTCAACTGACCTGAAAATCGAAATTATCTCAAAATTGGTCTGATCATCATTTGGGTTGAGGTTAAATGGGACGAGTTCACATTTAACAGTTCATATTTGGATTCAATATTAAACATATACAATTCAGATCAAGTATTTTGGGCCATATCAACTTCAGATCCGAATATAGACCCGACCTGTCAACCCAAATTAACACCCTATTATGAACTTATGATCATGAACTAATATAATTCCAGAAATAGCCTTTATGTTTTGCAAAATATCATCATTGTTTCATTCAATTTTTTTCTTAAATTGATGTGTTGAAGTTATATGCCCAAATAATACAAAGACATGAAAACTACTAGTACTGAGCTATTGTCTTCTTGTATATAATTATAGGTAGTGTAGTTCTCAGCTCTTGATGCTATTTGTTCTACAACAAATGCCACAAAATACACTGATTTTTTTTTTCTATTTTTTTCTTCTTTTAACAAGTGGATGAGGAAAATAAATATCTAGCATGAATACTTCTTTCAGTTTATTAATAAAAAAAATTATTATGTTAATTATTTTTATTTTTATGTAAAAAACAAAATCACTATATTTGATTATGTGAGATATTTGTGAAGTTTAAAATCAATTTTTATTTAGAATTATAAATAATTAAATGATGGGATCTATGGAAATTTCTTGGCCTTGTAAAGCATATTTTACTTATAAATGGCCAAATGGCCCTTATTTTATTTTAAAATTATTATTATTTTAAAAAAACCTTATAAAAGTTAAAATTCTATATGAGGATAAATTTTCGATTTTAAAAATAACATCAACCTTTTCATCCGAGCTTTAGACCGGCATTAATGATTAAAAAAAAATCGATGAAGTCATTATAATAAAAATTTAAATTATTAAATAAAGAAAAACTTACAATTGAGAGCACCTAATATTCATATTATCATTACAAGCAATTCACAATTTTTCTCCGAGTCTTCATATTTTAAAATCGTCGTACAATTATTTTTTTATTAATACTATCAAATATACGTTTTTCAATATAAATAATCATACAGTCATTCATTCAAGAATCTCCCATACAATTGCACGAAGGATTCATTAAAATTTTCATAACGGAGAATGTTCGTCGTGTGATCATTATTGTAGCTACTGATAATATAAGAGCAAGCTTTATGAGTAACATCATCAAAAGATAAATAACATTTTTCTTAGTCTCCACTAATTTTTGTGCAAGCTCTATAATTCCTTTTAAATTCTTGAATGATTTGTTAGATCTCATATTAGAGTTGTAGTTTTATATAACCAAATTCAAAAATAAAAACGCATATGATCAATAAGATAATTATTTTTCCTTAACTTCTTAAAAATATTTTAACCATTAGAAAACTCTAATTTCACTTTTTTTTTTTTTTGCTAAATTTTGAAACCAAATTTACTCAATAATTTCGATTGGAATTCAATAATTTTGACCGTTATAGCCTAATTTAAATAGTTATGGATAAAAATATTGAAAAATTTGAAACAAAATTGAATATTGATATATCATCAAAAAATTATCTTGATCGGGCACAAATATTGAGGCAAAATTGAATCGTAAACTTATGAAATTAATTCTGGGACCATCTGAGCTCCGATTTTAGAAAACTTAATAGTCGAACTGAACTTTTTGATTTGATGAACCCAATGACACTAAATTCGATCCAATCCAAGCCCAAATGAGCCCAAACGAGGGCTCGAAGCACGCTTGGATGCTTCAAAGCATAAATTAGACGACCAAATGATTTCCAAATGTGATATGTTTATAGTGGAATCAAGCAGTTAGACGAGACGAACCCAACGAACTCAAGATCGCCGAATTCTGACATCATTAAAACACTCAAATGCACGATAAATGATCTATGAACAAGGGAGTCAACATTTGTCATCCATCTAAAACATTCCCAACATGCCCATGCTACACCTAAAAAACTATAAATAGACTCTCAACTCTTCACAAAAAGGAGAAATAAGAGGAAGAATAAAGAGAAATCTAAGATCTCTCTTGCTACCAAGCTCATTCTCGACCACCGTCGAACCACTGACCGTCGTCGGACTTTTGCTCAGACACCAGTCGTCGCGGGACTTACGCCCGGCCACCTACTATTGTTGTACTTCTGCCCGACCACTAGCCCTCATCATACCATCATCATACAACCAACTATCGTCGAACTTCTTCTTGGCCATCATCAGTCGATATACTAATGCTTGATCACTGACCATCATTGGACTTCTGCTCGGCCACCAGTCGTTCCCGGACTTTTGCCCAATCATTGACCATTGTTGAACTTCTGCTTGACCGCCGACAGACGTCAGACTTTCTCCTGGCCGCCGACCGACGCCAGACTTTCTCCTGGCCACCGATTGTAGCCAGAAATTAGCTAGACTACCAACTGACGCCCAAAATTTTGCCCAGCCAACGATTTACGGACCTTTGCCCAACTCCCCAAATTATTGTAATTTCATCGTCCTCGAGCTCTGAAATGGGTCAGTCTTTGTAACCTATTTAAACAATAGTGAAATCATTTTCAATTAAGCGTGCCCCGAAGATTTTTCCTTTTTCCTTGGTTTTCCACATAAAAAATCCTTGTGTTTTTGAGTTCTCTACTTGTGTGTTGGATATCCGTATAACGTCATGACAAAAAATCTTCTCACTCTAACATTGTGTATTCTAGCCTGCAACAAACCTAAACAAATCAATTTTAATAAATTTGATACAAATTCATGGAATGAATTCATTAGCTTAATGATGTCATTAACATGTAATTAATGTACTCAAACATCTCTCAAGCACACTAAACATGAAAAAAAAATCCTTTACTAAGGAACAAAAAATATATAAATATATTTTTTTTACAATTTTATACCACTCCTTGATACCGACATTAATTATTTAAATTTATTTGTATGTTTTTGAACTAATCCTATATCTCTAGTGCCGTGTAACCGTGTTTGATCTTCAGCCATTTTTAAGTAACTTGTCTGATTCTTAAGAGAGACTTCAATGGAATCTTGGCTATTGCTGCACTTCTCTTCTTTGTTATATTAAATAACAATTAATTACTTCATTCCTCAACTAATTAATTTTTAAAATTGTTCTTACACCTTACATTCTCATCATTAACATTGAATATTTTATGTTATTATAAAAATTGATAGACTTTGAAGAAGTTGTTTTTCATATAGATTATATATGCTCTATATATATTTTTTTAAAAAAGTAGTAAATATTCAAAATGTTTGGGGTTTTATGATATTAATTATGCAAAATTATAGGTTCCAGAGGTATAATTAGGGTTGTCAATATTGACACAACCCGAAATCACGACCTGAACTCGAACCCGAACTGGGTCGAGTTCAGGTTAGGCATTTCTATCAACTCGTAAAATCGGGTCGGGTTCGGGTTGACCTACAAACCGATTTGACTCATTTTTAATTGATTTAGAGGGGTTTTAAAAGATTGTTATGAAATAAGTAAATGTCATTTTCAAAAAATAATAAATCATGTTGCCCAAAATGAATTAAGTTTGATTTATTTTAAATTAATTGAAGTAAATCTTATCTTAATTCGATTTAGGTTCAAATAAATTGAATTAAATAAAAATAATTTAGTAAAACATAACTGAAGCGGGTTATGTTTAAGTTCGAAAAATTGACCTATTTACAAAAACGGGTCGGGTTAAAAAGTGTTAGGTCATATTCAAGTTTGACCCGAACTTGACCTGAAACCCGATTTTGATAACCCTAGGTAGAACCAGCTTCTTTTTTTAAGGTGGACAAAATATGATTGAAGCATGTTTAATCTTAGAATGAAATGATTTTTTTTTTTAATTTTGAGCAAATACATTTATTGAGTGTGAGGAAATAGTTAAAATGTATATTTTAATAAGGGATAAGTAATCATAGGGTGGTCAATTGAGCTCCTCCTAGGTTCCCCTTGTAAGTCTCTATGGTGATTTAGGTTTCGTTTGTGACAGCTTTTGTCCACTACTTTTTTGTTGCTTTCAAGATATTTTTGTACTAAAAAATTACTTTAGAAAACAGTTACAAAACTAACTCAAACAAAACCTTAATTTCACCTTTGATTCAAAAAATTTAAAATATTTGGAATTTTTAGAAGATATACAAAAATATTTGCATGAAAAAGATTTAATAATTTCTACAACACTTAAAATTGATGTTGATGGGACAAGTTTTGCATCTAATGTCATTAGCAAGTTATCTATAACAATTTTTAAAAGGATTGCAATACTTTATTTGCACTTCAATGGATTTAAAACATTTCTCATTTTTTCAACCAACACCCTGCTTTTCAGCTTATTTGTAATCTAGCCATTTGTTAATGATTTATTCAGCCAACCACTTTGCATGCAATTTTATAGTGACACTTAATCTTAAAATTCAGCTTTAGAATTCAAATTTGTTTGCAACTTGAAGTTAACAAATGCTTTGGAACCATAATTATTATTCAAATATGTATGTTGCCATGTGCAAAACATGTAACAATCCTTAATATTTTGGTTAATTACTCATTAAAAATCCTCCTTACTCAGATGATTTTCTACATTGTTCAGTTTTAGAAGAAGCAGAAGGGTATTAATGGTAATTCATATCAACTGACTTAACTTCCTTTATGCTACAAATTTGGATTCTTTACTTGAAGAGCTTCCTATATCAACATCTTTCCCACACCCTTCTCTTCTCCTTATTCTTCCATCTTCCTCAACCAAAGCTGAAATTCTCATCAGGGAGCTCATTCACATGGAGAACAGAAGTCAAATTTCAATTGAGAGCTTCTCTTATGAGTGGCTGAACAACATCAATCCCACCTTTGATTTCGACCGCCTCGAAGACAGCCTTCGTCGCTCCTTCGAGGCACAAGATAGCAGCTCCTTCATCGAAATGGACCCAGATTTCTTTTCGATGCGCTGGACCGACTTGGATGGTTTTGATTTCAACCTTCCAGCAGGCTGTGAGCCTTCAGATTTGGTTCATGCTGACCAGATTTTCTCAAATGGCCTACTCCTTCCATTGAGTACTACTCTGAAGGAAAAACAAGCTTGTTTCTCTGCAGATTCTGCTCTTATTCGATCGGTTTCGATGGATTTTTCGAAGACATTGCTGTTTGATAGAAACCATTGGGATGATTCAGTCTCAACAAACACATCTCCAGCTTATTATTCTCCTTATAGTTTGCCTCTTGACAGTAGAGCCAGCAAGCTCAAGCTGCCTTTGAATAGGCACAGGAAAAACTCTGCTTGGAAGATATTAAGGCAGTATTTGAATTTCCTGATTCCTCTATACAAGAAGGTTAAGAAGATGAAAATGATCTCTCTGAGGACAACTCGCAGCTGCGGCGATTCGCCGATAAGCTTGGCAAGGATGACAAATGAGTTCTCAAACATCGAGCAGAATCGAGCTTTCAATTGGGAGTTTGAGAGTTCTATTCATGATGCAGTCCTCCATTGCAAGAAATCTATTGCAAATTCTAATGCAGAAGCTTGATTGTTCTAATTGGGAAGCTTTCTCTGATCTTTCCATAGATTTTATTTTATCTGAAGCTTTGAAGGATGCCATGATTGAAGAAGATGAGAAACATAAGAAGCTTTTGTTGTATGTTTGTTCTTAGGAAAAAAAAAGTTTGAAGTTATTAAAAGAAAAGGTGAAAAACTTCTGAATGTCTATATAACTATATGAGGGTATAAAGTTTTCTCCTTTATTTCTTAGTTGATGTGATTTATCATACCAAATGGATTTTTAACCGTTGAAGTTAAAAAAAAAAAGAAGAAAAGAAGAAGCTGTGGTGACATTTTGATTGGTCTATGAAAGCCTACTGATTTTGTTTTGTTATTCAATCAATCAGAGGAACAACTACCAAATCATGAAAGAGACTCTGTTCTCTATTGTATGAGGAGACTCAGACATCTTCACATGTATTTTTCTGGCCAAAAGAAACCACTCAAAAATTGCAAATTAAAATTAATTTTGTAATATATATATCTTATTTAGGTTAAAAAAAATATTTTTGAAAGGTTAAATTATTTTTTTATTAGGTCATGCTACAGTTACACTAATATGGGACGAATAATCTCTAGACTTCATGAGGCTTTGCTTCTCCAAAATATTTGATAAATTCACAGTACTACTTTATTATCATTTTATTTCATGCATGATCCAAATTTTTATGTAATGTTGTAACATAACTTATGATAAATCAACAACAAGATTTATACTGAAGTAGGTTTAGTTTATGAAAGGCCTGACAAATTAATGATCCTTTATTTTTTGTATTTGCCTCATTTGATTCTTTTTATTTATCTTTTTTCTCTTGCATATGTTGCTTGTTGGATTTGGATATGGAGGGGTTGTTTGGTTTCACACATTTAGCATGCAGTGCAAAGAGAATACGTGCATTTTGAGTGGTTTCGTGTTTGGTGTGACGTAAAGTAAATATGCAGTGCCAAAGTGAAGCATTCCAAACTCGCTCCGTAATGTATTTGCGGTGTAATTGAAACCCTCTAAAATCGAGCGAGTTCCAAATAGATTATCTCGCTTACGCAGATCGTCCTTCTCATGCGAAAAAAATGTCTCGCTTCCGCGCGCAAACCTTCCTCTTGCTTCTTTCCCGCAAAGTTCCCACCGAGCTTTGTAGGTTCTTCCTTCTCTCGTCTGCGCGGTCAGCCCCATTTTCCTGCCCAGTTCTCCCACCAAGTCCTCCCGGCTAGTACAACACCCTGTGATCTAGCTTCGCTCATGTCAACAAAAGAACCTCAGTATATGTCTCCCTTGCAGGTAACGACGTTCATCTCCTATTTGGATTATGTATCTTTGCTCATTTTAGGATTATGTGTTGCAGTTTACATGGTTAAGGCTTTATGTTTGTTGGGTACTAATACTTAACACAATATCTGCCCAAAAATTTGTGAGTTCAGGTCTTGTCTCTCATTTTTATTTTTTAAAATTTCTTAAAAATGGTTTTTTGTTTGTTTATCAAATGGAAGGTCAGTTAATTTATTTTTCTAGCTAAAAGAAACCACTCAAAAAATGTAAATTAAAATTATATTTGTAATATATATATATATATATATATATATATGAAAATGTTGGTCATTTAATAAAAAATAAAATATATATCTTATTTGAGTTAAAAAAATATATTTTTAGAAGGTTAAATTATTTTCTTATGAGGTCATGCTCCAGTTACACCAATATGGGACGAACATATATCCAAAATATTTGATAAATTCATAGTACTACTTTTTTATCATTTGATTTCACGCATGATCCAAATTTTTATGTAATGTTGTAACATAACTTATGATTAAATCAACAATAAGATTTATATTGAAGTAGGTTTAGTTTATGAAAGGCCTGTCAAATTAGTGATCCTTTATTTTTTGTATTTGCCTCATTTGATTCTTTTATTTATCTTTTTTCTCTTGCATATGTTGCTTGTTGGATTTGGATATGGAGTGGTGTTTGGTTTCACACATTTAGCATGCTCTGCAAAGAGAATACATGCATTTTGAGTAGTTTCGTGTTTGGTGTGACGTAAAGTAAATCTGCAGTGCCAAAGTGAAGCAAAGTAAATCTATAGCGCCAAAGTGAAGCATTCCAAACTCACTCCGTAATGTATTTGTGGTGTAATTGAAACCCTCTAAAATCGAGCGAGTTCCAAATACATTATCTCGCTTCCGCAGATCGTCCCGCTCGTGCGAAAAAAACGTCTCACTTCCACGCGCAAACCTTCCTCTTGCTTCTGTCCTTCAAAGTTCCCACCGAGCTTTGTAGGTTCTTCCTTCTCTCATCTACGACGGTCTGGACCATTTTCCTGCCCAGTTCTCCCACCAAGTCCTCCCGGCCAGTACAACACCATGTGACATAGCTTCACTCATGTCAACAAAAGAACTTTAATATCTGTCTCCCTTGAAGGTAACGACATTCATCTCCTATTTGGATTATGTATCTTTGCTCCTTTTAGGATTATGTGTTGCAGTTTACATGGTTAAGGCTTTATGTTTGTTGGGTACTAATATTTAACACAATATCTGCCCAAAAATTTGTGAGTTCAGGTCTTGTTTCTCTTTTTTATTTTTCAAAATTTCTTAAAAATGTTTTTTTGTTTGTTTATCAAATGGAAGGTCAGTTAATTACCTTAAAATTGCAAACCATTGAAACTCATAGGGAGTGGGCTTATGATAATATAGAGTTTATCAGGACATGTCACAAAGCTTTTAAGGTGGTTGATTTGAGTGCATACTATATTCTCCATGAGCATATGTCTGGCCAATATTGCTATGAGTGCAACTCATAGACTATCATTCTTCATTTAGAATGGAACTATAAATTTACTTGTTAGTATTATTTAATCATTATCATTTATTTATTGTAGATGTGGGTTATAGTTCTTAATTCATTTCCCTACCAAACTCTACAGTTGAATCATCCAAAAACTTTTACTGCATAACTTTTAATTGTATTTCAATATTACACTACATTTGATACTGCACATCATATTACTCTGTATATGTGAAATCGCGTAAGTAAAAAAAAGTTAAACTTTTAAACATCGAGACTCCTTTTGATGTAATGGTCAGAATTTCATTAAGAAACTTTACAGTTAAGCGTGCTTATCCCAGAGAAATCTTGGGATGGTGACCTTTTAGGGAGTTAAACCAATTGGATAAAACTATGAGACCCTTAGACCAAAGCGGACAATATCTCGATAGTTAAGAGTTTGAATTATTACAAATGATATCAGAGCAATACACTAACCAAAAGATGAGAGTAAGTACCATACAAGATAAAGTGCTACGCCATGGGAGCCACCTCTTGATTCCTATATGGAACAAAGTGTTCCATAGCAGAAGTCACAACTACTTGAACTTATAGGAGCCACCTCTAGAATATTATATGCCACATGGATGATTCTAAAATAAAATTATTGATATAGACGAAGACATCAATTAATTAAGTAGGGAGATTATGAAATCCCTTACGTAAATAAGCTAAACTCTTAAACATCAATGCGCCTTTTGGTGTAATGGTCAAAATTTCATTAAGAAACTCTGTAGTTGAACCTGCTCATCTTGAAGAAATCCTGCGATGTGTGATCTCCTGGGAAGTTACACCAACATGACAAAATTGTGGACCCTTAAGTCAAAATGGACAATATCTCAATAGTTAAGAGTTTAGATTGTTATAACTTATACCTCACCAAACAAGAAAAATAATTTCCCTGCATTTACATTGCAGACAACAAAGAGCATCAAAATATTCTAAATATAACGCATTTATTTTACATTACATTCCTTTTTCAGGAAACACAACAACTCCTTAGCAATTATGATGATAATTAAATAGATAAGTGATCAATAATTTTAAATCAACCCTCTAATTTAGTTTAGATGATTGGTCAAATTAATTTTCCTCTATTTTCTCTCAATCATCTATGATTTACCCCAAAAAAGAATTATTTGTTAATTAAATGATTAAGATTAATTACTTCACCCTCTCCAATTAAGATCTGAAAAGATTCAATAAGAACTTTTTGGTTGAGCATTATATCATATAAGCTAATTTTAATTGATCAAAATCAACTTGATTTTTAAGAAAATTATCTTGTAAACAAATTCACAAACCTATTTATCTCTTCATTAAAGATAAAAACATCCCAACTAAGCAAGATATTGGTGAGATGATGAGTGGGGCTAACATGAGAACAAATTGGCCACATGGGAGAAACTTAGACAAGGGAACATTGAAGCATATGTTCCTTGTTCTTTTCTTCTTGTGTTTCTATTTTTCTTCCTTTGTTGGCCTCTCTATCTTTATTAAACAAGTTGATATATGGACACTACTGCCATTGTTTCTTTAGTTTCTTCTTTTTCATCTCTTATAATTGTCTTGCTTTCTTTACTAAATATCTGATTTTATGCTTAGGGACCCTATAACCTAGTTTTGCGCAATATGTCGGAGGCCAAAAACTTGTTGCCTCTTGTGAGAGAGACAAGGTAACTATCATGGCCAAAGAAGTTGTTAGTTTTGCTTGCTAGCTTTTTGTAATTGTTAATTTATAGACGACCAATTTTATTGAGAGAGATAAGGTAGCTATTATGATCATAAATTCTAATAGGGTAATTTCCATCAATAATGTTATCGAATGATAGTTAAGTATCATTTTTTTATACGTAGATTTTAGTCGGAATCAAATTTTTTGTCTGATTTCAGTTATTAGAAAATGTCTCATATGTAATTTTTTTTCAGTTAGTCAAAATATGTTTTTACTATTTTTTTAGGGGAAGAACTATGATTTTTAGTGATAAAATAACTCAATGAAAAGTAGTTAATAATACTTTAGAATAATTAAATTCTATTAGGGTTTGTTCAATCATTGATTTTATGGTGTGGGATCATTGAGGAATGAGTTTTCAAATCAGTGGACACCATAGACTTATAGATTTCATGATGTGATGTTGATTCTTTTTGTACTGTGACATAGCTCTGTTTCCTTATGAAATAATGCGCATTAATTTAATCAGCTTCTTTGTATAGCCCCACAGTTTTTTATTTTTGGCATAAAAACTATTATAAATTTTATTTGTCTTATTTTGCTTGATTGAATTAACTCTATTATAAATATGTACATATAAAATAAAAATAAAAGCTAGC